TACAAATTGTAATGATTAAATTCAAGTTACAATATTTAATTAAAATTGAAAATAATATATTTCTTTTTTAAATTTTTTTCCTGGAAGTTTTACTCCCATACGTTTTATGTGCTCTAAAACTATAATTTTACATAAGATGTACTTATTATAGTTTTGTCTATTACATTGTATCATACTCGCTCAAATACACAATAAGAAATTTGACAAACACATCTTTTATTATGCGGGTAAAGAGGTGATTCACCCAAAATATATTTTTCAAGTCCGGATTAAGGAGAAGAGTGAGTAGGGGAGTCATGGGCCATGGTCAATAACAGATATTGAACAAAAGTGGGCTTGGGGAGCAGAACAGTTGCTATAATATATGGATAATGGATTAATTATTATTTGGCACAGAGCCCAATATTATCTTAATCCTGGTTAGTAGACTGTAATGTTGAAAAAATAATTATTGTAGTTAATCTTGTTATTTAACACCGATCTTAAACCTGATGATAAACTGAAAGCGCTTTACAAAGAGAATGGACAATGTTCCTTAGTAATAAGATGTGTTTAATATCTATGATAACTTTTTTTGACTTATTTAATTTAATAAAATGTATGATATTAATTTATAAATGTATTGTTCACAAAAAATTTACATTTATAATTTTAAAAAAAGAGGGGAGCAAAACAAGTATAAAATCAATGTCTATACTAGGTAAAAACTAAACAAAAGATTAATTAATGGCTTCAATAATGTTTTAACATAATTATAATTATACAATTAACTCGAAATAGTATTTTGCAGAGTATAAAAAATGACTGTTAGTTGTTAGGTACCTACTCAAAAGTTAAAAATTAGAATTTATTTGAATAGTGAACATAAAAATGACCAGCAATAGAACCATAATAATATAAATTTTTTATTAGCGCTATCTATAAAAATACAGATATAAAAATAATGTAATTTATATARTTAATTACTAAACATAACWCAAATACATAAATTCGATGTAAGTTAAATAATTCAAATAATTTAAATTGAATTTATTATTTTTAGATATTATGTAGTATAAATACATTAATTTAATACTTTTAACTTTTTTGTATTCACCAACAATAATTTATAGGTATCTGAATCATTGAACATTCGTATGGTATGGAATATTCAACTAGTTCTATTGACAGTTAATTGTTGCAGTGATTAAAATTCTTATACAAATAACAAGTATTTATCCCAAAAAACAATCAATAACTTATGTCTAATTGTTTATATTACTAGATAACTTAATCCCATACAAAATTTTAAAATTAAAAGTGTTTTTTGTATTAATTGTTAGTGGTTGTATCATTTTCAATTATTTTAAGCGCATCTTCTGCCTCTGTTGCAAGAAAGTAATCATCAGACTTAAATATCACTGGTGGTTCATAGGCAGGTAATTGTCTAGAAGAATGGTCTTCTTGTTTTTTCTAATAAAAATAAACACAAATACTTAATAATATAATATAATGTTTGCAAAGTGCATTAATTATATTACTATTAACTTACAAAAAAAGGTTTTAGAATTGTATTTAGTGGGCCATCCTTATTGATAGGCATACAAGCCTCAGCTTCAGTTAGTTGTTGGTCAACCAACTCAACATCTTCACCAACTTTATTAACCAGCTTTTCTAATTTATTTACAGAATCTGTGAGTTCAGTAACCTTGGATTTCATTTCTTTTATTGAATCATAATGCATCACAGTACTTTCCATTCGTAGTGCACGTACCTATAAGTAATGAATGTAAGTTAAAATTGTGTTAATCAGGCATTATTAAAAATATATGATTCTCATGATTATCTACCATTTCCATAAATGTCTGAAATTCTTCCAATCTGGTAAGCATATCTTCGACTACATCTTTTAACGCGCTAACCTAAGAATGTAAGGAAAAGCCAGAGAATAATATAATGTAATACACAATATACGAAGATATACCTAAGCGTACTGCCTGTCAAATATTTTAGTTGTAATGAAGTTACCTCATTTTCATTGTCGACCTTTAAGTACTCAGAATAATCGATGGCCAGCTCATCTAACATCATTGATTGGTTTATTCTTGCAAGTTTTTTTWAAATACTTTTTGAACTGTTTTGACTTTAAGCAGCAATATATATAGGCAAGAAGTTACAACTGAAAAAAAAAAGATTAAAAAATCAATCAGTATAACGATTCAAGAATAAACAACTGTCAACAAAATATCTATTTTATTTATTAATTATCATAAATGACTATACAAAATACTTACAATCRGTACATAGGTAAYCAGAATACAATTAAAGATTTACCTAAATATWATATACATAAAAAATAGTAAAAATCTAAATTCTTTAATTAGTTTAATCGACAAGTTTGAGTGAAGAGTGAGTAAGGACACTGTAGGCTGATATATTGTAAGTGAATAATTGATATCTAAGTGACTTAGAGTAACTGTGTGACTGTGTTAATGAGTTAATGAGTCACAATTTAAGATTTATAATTTTATATTTTAACTAGCTCACCGTGCTAGTATTTTAATATAACTATTATAACTTAAAGCAAGACATTATAGACAATAAATAATATTATATTATCATAAGTGAATTTAACAAGTGACAAGAGATATCATCGTTATCAACATGGCCTGGATATGGGCGCACAGATTCAAATCAGTGACTCCCAAATTGTACTCCAATGGAGCAGATGTCTTCAGTAAGTAAAGTTGTCTTCGTCTAACAAATATAAAACATATCAAAAACTGTTTTGCGCGGGAAACAACAAAGAAGGCTACAGACATAACGGAATTCCTCCATATAAAAAGGAGAATTTTGTCCGTGAAATATCGTTTCTATTATTTCGATATTGGAATTACGAAAAAAGTCATTCAAGTTGAAAAAACACCACCGAAATAATTAATATTGAAAACAACAAGATCTTTTTCCGTATAATCTTACAACTTTACAAGTGATATCAAATAAAAAAATAAAAACGATATTTTACAGAATTTGAAATGTTCTACACTAATCAATTTGTAGTTTTAGCTATCACTACAGTTCTGTGCTACAGCCCGCGAGTGCTCCGACTGCTCCGAGAGCTCTATCCCGGATTCCCGGCAGTGGCGTACCTTTCCTCTCCCCAAATTTTTTTTTTTATTTATATATTTAAGTARTTTACAATCTATACAACATTATGTACAATGGGCAAATTTKATAATTAATATAATATGAAATAACAGATATTAGCATTTAGGGGCAGTCACTCAGCAGCACCAACCGACCGAGAACATTTTAGATGTCGTGGGTTTTTTTCATTTTTATTATTATTATTTTAGCAGGTCTCTAGGCCACTGCCTTTTTAGTCTTCAAAATTTTTAGAATTGATACGATTTGTTACGTTCAGGTGCCAGGTGATCCATTATGATATAAATTTAAAATTCAGGTCTAAGTACACCTCTGTATAGCGGTTAAATATTAAATAATAAATAGTCCGCGGCTCCGCGGCAACGAAAACTAGCCGGTGACTCCAGACACCCGTCCGCCAGAGGTTACCCATGGGTTCTCAAGCTGCAACTCGCCGCTGTGATGTTATATAATATTATCTAATATAATAATATGAAAATAATTTTTATATTAATAATTTTTTCAACCATTTTGCTCACATAATTTGTATACTATTAAATTAATATAATATACCTATTTAATCAATTTTAAAAATCGCCACAATTAGTTTTACGCGCATGTGGACCACTGATGGAAAATGATCGCTAGAGTCGCGTCGTTCGCCGGCGGACTTTAATTCTTTATTCTTCCTTCTTCCCTCYGGCTCCTATATCCCTTTGTCCGTGATTGTTGTTTACACCGTAAGTATAAAATAAAACAATTCTTTTCGTCGACTATATTCAACATAATATATCTTATTAAAGAAAATAGAAATAAAGAATAACAATGTTTTTACTTAGTTTTGTCATGTCATTACATTTTAGCAACAATTAACAATGTTACAGATTGTTGTAGATGATACTTGAGTAATAATATCAGTTTAATTTGTACTGTGTCAACGATCAGTAAACAGTAAGTACTTGCTACTACTAAGACAAATTAAGTTTTAATTAATGTATCTCTAAGCTCTGACCTCATAACAGTTTATAGTTGGTGATACAAATCGAATACTCAACTTATTTTTTTTTTCAATGCCGGTATAAAGAAAAACGTAGGTACAATTGCTATATAATTACCTAACTAGTTTTGAAACCTACCTATTTAAAATTTTGTTTTTAAAAATTATGTTTCCCAAAAAATTCTTTCAAGTCATGTTCCCAAGCTATAGTTACTATCTAGAAGTTTGCAATACTAAATCAGTTACCGCCGTTACAGGTGTGAAAAAATGCAAAGGGATGTTTTTAGATCATACTATTTACATGGTTCATTATCCCCAGTGCGGGATAATGTGGGATGATCTTAACAAGTTTAGCCTAGCAAAAGCGAAGTTCTAGGATATTTTGGTCGTTTTTGTGGTATACGCTATTTAAGTATCCTTGTTTCTTGGATACAATTTAGTCATTGTTCTATAAAAAAACATTGTGAATGAATATCCAGGTTTAAAAGTATTGAACGGTTAGTCTGAATCTCATTGGTTCATTAAATTTTTTGTAACTAAGAATCTCGTTTTTGGTGTCCAGAGCCGTAAGACCCATGGAGTGATTATACTTGTTAAATCATGAAGTCGAACACCGAGTAACTCATTTGTGGATTATTTCCATCCCTGTTGGACCGAGTTCCAATCTTTGAACTTACTAATAATGTTAGTTGTATGAGGTGTTGTTCAACATTTCAAAGTGAGATTTGTAATTTACAAATCCTTTAACCTGTAGCTTACCTCCTTCAGCCTCCTCCCTCTCGGTCTAGGTATTATGGTCCAGTATTCTATAATTATTTTTGTATTATATTGTTTTAGGTATGATATTGTTAGAATTTTAGGAATTCTTTTTTTATTACTATTATGTATTCTTTATAGTTTATAATATAACTCATTACTGTTATCAATTTGTCTTTGGTAGTTGGYCAATCTTAAGAATAGTGTTATGATTTCATATACAAAAAAAGTTTTTTTATTGTTGTCACTTTTTGTGACTTTGGGGTTCTATTTCATCATCTTTTCTGGTAGACAAATGTATCTATTGTTGATAATTTGGGTGGCCAAAAMAAAATTTACACACTTTTATTTATGTTAAACGTTTATTCTATTAAATTACATATAAGACAATAAATTCCGGTAATTTCCGGACCAAAATGTTTAGCCAATGCGCCACTGCATATCAGTGTTTTCATATTATTTATGACAGTCTAAAAACACATATCCAACATTCTCTACTACWACTAAATTACAAGTTTATCGTAAAAGGAATCTAATTTTAATAGTTTATGTTTACAGTACTAATTGAGCAATTAACAAAACATTAAAGAAGATTTATATTCAATATGAAACCACTCAGAACACCTTTTAATGATTGTGCAATAAAATCTATGTAAGCAAGTATAATATAATTAATGAGAAGTTACAAAATTAAATTTTAACCTATATTTGAAAGAACTTTATTTTATTAACCTAGGTGCTTTGATAATTTGTGTATTATATCTAAATTATATATTAATTTCTTACTTACCAATCAATAAGAACTCAATTTTTTTGCAATTTTTTTTAGGTTTAAAGATTTATTACATGGTTCTAGAGTGTTGTCAATCCCACTTATTAGATGTGATAATCAGATATTTAACAGAGTTATTGAACTGGAAGTTATTAATGATCAAGTATTCAATAGAAGTATTAAAGAGGAATGCACTGATGAAACAGACTGCAAAGATGATAGTCAATTATTTCAAATAGAGTATGTATTATATTTAAATCATAGTTAGTGTTACATTAAATTTATAATACAATTTTATGTTTTTATTGTATTACATAGTACTAGAATGTTACCATCCCCACATAATATATGTGGTGGTGTTMAAGARTTTAGTGGAGATATTAAACAGGAAACTATTGATGATAAAGTATTGAATGGAATAGTAAAAAAAGAAGTTACTGATGATTCAGACCACAAAGAAGATATTCAATTATTACAGATAGGGTATGACTTCCATTTATATCATAGTGTAACATTAAATCTGATTATACAATTTTATGGTTTTATTATATTATATAGTTCTAAAGTGTTACCATCCTCACATAATAGATGTGGTATTCAAGAATTTAATGGAGATATTAAACAGGAAACTATTGATGATAAAGTATTGAGTGGAATAGTAAAAAAAGAAGTTACTGATGATTCAGACCACAAAGAAGATATTCAATTATTACAGATAGGGTATGACTTACATTTATATCATAGACTATGATTCATAGTGTAACATTAAATTTGATAATACAATTTTATGTTGTTTTAGAATGTTACTATCCCACTTATTAGATGTAGTATTCAAACTTTAAATT